TCGCGCGTATTGTCTGGCTTCGCTGTCTTGGCCTGGTCGGGCAGGCGAGAGGAGGGCAGCGAGAAGGCCGGGCCGTCGTGCGTGCCACCTGGCGTGGCCGTCTCGGCTTGGCCAGGCGGGCGAGTCGAGGGCAGCCGGGGGAGGCGGGGCGGGGGAGGGTCGAAGGCCAAGAGGTTGCAAACGCAGGAGCGTTCGGAGGTCCGCGGGGATCTCTTGGGTCGGCGCTGGGCCCTCCTGGGCGGCGGCGCGCTCCGCGCGCCGGGGGGCTGGGGCCCAGCGCCGACCCAGGGAGTCCGCACGGGCTCCGAAGGCTTGCGTGGGAGGGAGGAGGCGAGGGGAAGAGGGGCGCGCCAGGGCGAGACGGCGGGGGGGAGGGCGACGAGCGGGAGGTGTGCTCTTGGCCTCGTTGCCCCTGGCCTGTGCTCCCCCCCGCGGCAGAGGGGCCATGGTCGGGCGGGCTGGTGCTGGCCGAGTCATCCTGGGAGCGCGGCGCGATTCTGAGTCAAATGTCTGCGAATATGCGCAAGACGAGGAGGTATCCCGCCAACGAGGGATGCATTCGTCAGGCATGCGTATTCTGATTCTGTGAGTTCTGGTACGATAGGGGATGTCTCAAGCAGTGGCGAAGCGTCCTGGTGTGCCTATAGTCCTACCAACCAATGTTCTAAGAACCTTTTGTGGTTCCCACGAAATATTATTAGAACATTTCTGACTGGGACAGATTTGTTTTATCACATTGGGCTTTTGTTATAAGAACATTGCTTTTGTTCTTAGAACATTTCTGGGTTCTAAGAACATGTCGTGGTAGGGCTATAGGAATGCCGGGACGGTCGGTCCCCGCTCAAATGTCACGTCTTGACCCCGCAGCTTGACAAGGCAGCATGGTGTGGCTCGAAGCAGCGCCAACTGCACCGTCCTAGAGGAAGCGGTCCCGAAAACATGTGTTGATTGAGATGGTGCGTCAGCTGTGACTGCCCATAAGGTCAGGAATTACAGACTGTCTGCTCGGAGACGGGTGTGAGCTATTAGGTTGCAATCCATGGTTGCAGACATGTGTGCCACATGCGATACGCGTAAACACAATCCGACCAGCTGGAAGTTCCATGCTTCAGTGTCGACGAGCTTCGCGTCAACATCAACGTCGGTTCCACGAGGTATCGGGCTGTGCGTAGAATCGCGCCACCCCCTTGCAGTCAGAGTATATTGTAACGACAGGAAGGGGTCTCACAGGGATGTGAGGTGAGGGAGCACCTTCCGCGTCCTACTGGAGCCCATGCACGCAGGTGCTAGGAGGGTCTCAATGGAAGGTTTTCTCACCACAACCTTGCCCTCCCTCCCCCACCTGCACGACCTGTTCCTGCAATTCCTGACCCCACGTCCATACCATCACATTCTGGCTCAAGGGCTGGTGCTTGCTTTCTGTCGAGCTCTCCGCCATCCCGCTCCACTGCTCGTTCGCTCGCTCGCCTTGCTCGTTCGCCAGAGGAGGGGATTTTTCCATAACCACCGCCCGGGGGATCGAGTTTCGGGGACGTCGGTTGGCGGTGGATGTGGATATACCCGGGCCCCCTGGGGCCAAGCTGCATCCATGTCCACCGCTCGCTGGGGTCCCAGGACGTCGCTCCCACAGGCGGCGGATATGGATACATCTCCGCCTCGCAGTTCGCGGTGCGCCAGCATGTCCACCCAAGCGCCCTCTGGCCGCTCGCAGGCTTCAGGGCCCCCCAACGGTGTGTAACGCCGCGTGGTGAGACAGTGGGGATTCGGAGTCACCACGCGGTTTCGGGACTCGAGTCGTTCGGCGAGGGTATCTCGGACGACTGGGGCCTCCAAAACCCTTGTGGTGACGGACCTCGCGGTGAGATCGTTGGGGAACCTGTGGTTCTTCACGCGGTCCCCCCTCGCCCGCGCCAGCGTCTTCATGTCACCCCAGGACCCCAGGAGACAGGGGCGATGACAGCCCCGCGGCAGGACAGCCTGCCGACCTCATAGCCGCAGATCTACGAAGAGTCTGCGTCTTCTTTACAGATTCGACAACATTTTTGGGAGGTAAACCAACTCTGCAGTCGATCTCCTACTCGAAGGGAGGGGAGGGGGCCAGCCGCATCTCTAACGATGGCATCGCGCCATTGGGGCCTCGAGGCGCGCACAAACAAGAACGGAGAGGCCCCTCACGGTCCGTCACCGCACGGTGCTCGGGCCGCTGCCCGCCCCGCCTCGCTCGGGGCACGTCGTCGTCGTCGTCGTCGTCGTCGTCGTCGTCGTCGTCGTCGTCGTCGTCGTCGTCGTCACCGCCTGGTCTTGGGGCCCCGAGAGGCTGTGCCCCCGCCCGGCGGCGAGGCCGCCGGGGGGCGCGCCCCGAGAAGCCCCGCCAGCGACCAGGAGTTTGCGCGCCTGGTGCACGCCCTGCGGCGCGGCACGGGCCGCCGAGGCGCGGCGGCAGGCCCGGGCCCGGGCCACGACACAGACACGACGGAAGGTGGTTCGCTGTTTTCGGCGTCTGGTGGCCCCCGCCGGGCCTCGGGACCGTCCAACACACGGCGCGGGATGAGAGACCAGTCCCCGGGAACGGGTCGACACGACGGGGTCTGGAGGCGCCGCGCGCCGATCGCGGCCGCCACCCGCTGGCACGCCAGTCTCCGCGGGGCGAAGCCTCGCCTGTGTGCACGGCCTCGCGCCCTGCCGCGCCGCCTCCAGCAGGAAGCTGGCCACGGCGTCGCTGCTGGAGCTTGAGGGCGAGGGTAGAGGAACACAACACTGCAAGAACATCAACGCTCGGAGTCCGCACGGACTTTTGGGATCGGCTCCGAAAGTGTATGTCATGCCGTTTTTGTTCCTCTAGTGCCGACTTCGGTGTTGGCTTCTGACTCCGCGCGGCGGGGTCGCCGCCGGTCGGCACGAGGCGAACCTGCCCTACCCTCGCTCTCGAGCTCCAGCGGCGACGGCGTGGCCAGCTGCCTGCCGGAGGCGGCGCGGCAGGGCGCGGGGCCGCGCACGCGGGCGAGGCTGCTCCCCGCGGAGACTGGCGCGAGCCAACGGGCGCGGCTGGGTCGGGGATGCGGAAGACTCGAGGAAGCCGGAGCTCTGGTTTGCCGACTTTCTCTCGACGAGCGCGTCCTGGGTTTTGACGGTCCCGTGTTCGTGGGATGTCTACAGCGGGAGCCCGCGTCAAAATTCAGATCGGGTCTCGTCAGGCCAACCCGGGTCCCCCGTACCCGGGTCTTACGTCTCCCCGACTGGTGCCCGGAGGCTCGGCTGTCGAGTACTCGTCCGACTTGCGCTCTTCGTTCGCCCGGGGCGCGCCGCCGTCGGGTTGGCCTTGGTCGCCCGGCCAACCCGGCAGATCTCGGGGCTCGCGCGGCCACGGGCAGGCCATCGGAGGAGAGAAAGGTGTATTAAGCAAACGTTCGGCACTCCGCGCGGATTTCTTGGATCGGCGCCTGGGCCCCCCTTCGGGTTCACCCAGGTCCAGCGACAAGGGCGTGGTGCAATAGATTTGGTGCAGTAGATTTGTGGGGTTGCAATACATTTGGGGCGTGCAATACATGTCGGGGCGCAAATGTATTGCTGTGCATTTTCGCGTCCAATACATTACTTGCAATACAATGCAATACAATTCTCCGGCGCAGTACATTTGCAATACAATTGTCCCAAATCTATTGTGCCACCCCCTTTCAGCTGGACCCCCTTTTGGGTCACCCAAACCCCTGGCGGCGCATTCGGCGCCGCCCCTGGCACGCTCCGCCTGCTAGGGAGGGGGGTCCAGCGTTGACCTAGGAGATCCGCAAGGTCCTCAGAGAAATTGTGCTTTTTGCAATCACTTGATCTTCCTCTAAGGTTAGCACCCGGGCCACCCTCGTTGGCTGGCTGGTCGACGTGCACGCCGCGCGCCACACGCAACCGGAGACGCTCTTCCTGGCCACCTCGCTGATCGACCGTTACGTCTCTCTTAGGCAGCCCCCGCTGGGGAGGTTGCAGCTCGCGGGCATAGTCGCCCTCTCGCTCGCGGCAAAGTTTGAAGAGGACGGCCCGCTGAGCGCCGCGGACATGCGGGAGCTGACGGACGAGGCGTACGAGATCGACGAGTTTCAGAGCATGGAGGTGCACATGCTCGATGCGCTGGAGTTCCGCCTCTGTTCCACAACCGCAATACATCATTTAGGCATTGTGCATGCAACCGAGCCTTGTCCACAGGAACAGTACTCTCTGGCGCAATACCTCTTGGAGCTATCGCTTATGGACGACACCCTGTCAGCCTGCGCTCCTTCGCGCCTTGCTGCTGCTGCAGTGTTGTTAAGCGCAGCTTTGGTGCGGCGCCAGCCTTTGGAACTTCCAATGTCGAGTGAATCTAGCAGGACCAACATCAGAGGTTGTGCAAGGTTGATGTACGCGGCGCTTCAACGGGCAGAACAAGACGCCCATCACACAGTGTTCAATAAGTTTTCGCAGTCAGCTCACCAGTCTGTTGCTCAGCTGTATCGCCGCGCTACTGTTACATTGAGCAGTGTAGTGTTTCAACAAGCTCGAGGTGAGCATCGTGAGAACCACAGCGCCAACAGGGTTTCTCGTAAGCGTCTGCGAGATGAGCACAAACTCGATCAAGAAGAAAGCCAAAGCCAGCAGAGCGCGAGCACTCTCAGCCGCAGGTGCTTGGTAATGGCACCTTGCTCGGCTGCCTCTGGAGAGAGGTCTGGAGAGAGGTCTGGAGAGAGGTCTGGAAAGATGCAAGCGCCCGTGTAGCTGATGCAGGCGTCCGTGTAGCTGATACAAGCGCCTGCACAGCTGCACTTAGGCATCTGGCCGTGCTGCGCGTTGGCGGGTGCACGGTCTCGGCGAATTCGCGTGCGGAGTGACTGCAGGCCTTGTGAGTCCTGGTGGGGCGCGGGGACTCCGAAATTCTGTCTTCCTGACCGCGCGCACGTCTTCTGCTCCGGTGGGTGGACTAAAAGTGTCCACACATGTCTCGCCAAGATCTTGAGTCATTAGGGTACGTCGGACCAACATGTATACCCCCCTTCCCCTAAACTCAAAGCTGACGAGTTTAGGCGGTAGGCCAAAGGCCAGGGACAACATGTTGACACTTCAGCTTTGGGTTTGGGGGGGAGGAGTGCGAAGCAAGGGCATTTCGCAGTTGTGGTTGTTATCATGTTGCATCGCCTTCCCGCCGTCCCGCCGTGGGTGTGGACACCTTTTTGTCGGGGCACCGTCCTCCCCGTCGGGGCGGGGGAGGGGCGGCAGGCCAGCTCCCAAGCGCGCACGCGACGCCCCCTCCCCTCGGCCCCCGGGGAGGAAGAGGGGCACGGGCACACGCCAACCGCCAGGGGAGGGGGAGGGGGATGACGCGCGCACATCGCTGCTCCATCCCCCCCTTGGGGGGAGTCCGATTTTCGGTTAGCTTGACCCAAGACGTCTATAGCACGGATTGTCTTCTACCTGCTACACTATCTGCTGCTAATACATGCCTGGAATCTACCTGGATTCTGACTCTGGTCCTCCTGGTTTGTAAGAAGGATCACATTAATTAATACACATAGCCTAAGAAAACAACCATAAAACTGGCTACCGTTCCTCGGACCCTAATCGAGCAGAGCAATCATTCTGCCCCAAGGGTACTCAAAGAAATCGAAGAAAAACTTATCGATGTTGAAATAGTCGATGAACGGCAGCTTCATGCTTGAGATATAACCATATCTGGTAATACTGCCCATCAAACCAAGAACCGTAAAGTAAGCATAATAGTCCATCATATAATGCCTGGGTCGTCTAACTTCAGAAAGATGCGGAGTACGTAATCCATTACCTGTGATTCAATCCATGTCTTGCAATATGGTCGCAATACATACTGATGGTGATTCTGCCCAAGAAGGTTTCATACTGATCAGGTCATTCTCAGTCACCGTCACTGCTGGAGCATCGATGGTTGCCACTAGACACTCGATGCCCTTGGTCTCCAAACGCCAGTAGCCGTAGGTCAACAGATCGTAGAGGATCTCCGATATCATACTCTTTGTAAGTCCATCTGCAACCATGGCCGAGGTAGGACACCAAAAGAAACGCCTGATATAGCCACGAAGCCTGTCTTCTCGTACTGACAGCACATACAGTCGTTGATGTCGATCTTGAGGTACGCCCTTGAGGCCGACGCTGAGCTCAAAGAAGTCTCTGCAGTCTGTCCAGTGGTCGATAGGTATCATGAACTCAGCGTGATCCTGGATCTGGATCAGTTGTGCCATCGTACTGCCCTCATGTAGTGGAAGTTGGATGCCTGGAGCAAACAACTCTGTCAGTCGCATAGCAATCATCTGTGCCAACTCTTTACCAACCACACCTGCCAATGTCTCTGCCCGGGATGTGCTGCCTGAAACTCTCTTGGCCTTATGAGATAATGAAGCTATGATGTGGCAGAACTTGCTGAGCTGCTGCTTGGAGTCGCACACCTGCTGGTAGTGAATCGACGTCGTAGGTACAACTTGCACGCGCTTGTCCGAGCCCAACAAGATAAGTACTGCCTCTTGAGCGTATGAGCTTCCTGAAGTGGCTCCACTCGAATCTGCCACCGTGTCTATCACGAATGGTGGAGAGATCTTCGGAAAGTAGAGCCCCACGTTCGATGAGTACTTCTTCACGCGAGCTAGTAGCGTGTTGGCCATCTTGATGTGCTTGATCGTTGCTGATGCCGTATTCTGCTGGATAATGACTGTATCTGCAATCGCGTCCAGTCGTGTCTGACATAACCATAGCAACCCGCCCAGGAGTCCTCGAAATGCCTTGAGCTCCGTGGAAGTGAGTGGAGAGTCGTCCTGAGCTGCTCGGTGCTTGCCGAGAGAGACTGGCTGGAGGTTCTGACAGAACTCGTCCTGAGACATTCGAATGCCGAAGTCAGTCTGCTCATGTCTGACTCCCACATGATTCATAGGTGGTTGCTGTCTAGTAGCTCCTCCGAATCTGTCCGAGAATTTGCTGTAAGACTTGTTGAGCCACTCGTTGCTGCTCGCGTTGTTGTTGTCGTCGACATAGGAGGTCGCAATTGCCTTGAGTTCTCCTGGGGATTCCATCCAGAAGTAAAAACAGTCGTCGAAAGCCGAGGGCCTGCCGCCAAGCGTCTCTATCATGAAGATCTGCATGACCACCTGGAATGCCAACGGTGCATCGTTCAGACCATACATTGCCTTGAGACACTCCAGAGCCCACATGTTCCAGCTGCCTTGCTGTGAGGGAACGTGATACGTCTTGGAATCGATGTTCCTGAGATGTCGCCAGACGTTGGCTGGTGGAATGATGTACACCTGCCGCTCTGGAGTCTTGATGCCGCGCTTGCGCAAGACCTCGTACATGTCCTTGAAGGGTAGTCCCTTCAGGAAGGCGCCCGTGACGTCCCAGCTCTCGATGGTGAAGTCATATATCGCTGCCAATGAGACCAGAAGCCGCTGCGACAGTCGAGTAGCCGTCGTAGCTCGCTTAGAAAGTGATGCACCTTGACCGTCAAGAAAGCCTCTTGCACACAGCCTGCTCTTGACGATCCACTTCATCTCGTTGCCAACCTTGATCTGCTTCCACTTGCGGACCCAGACGCAATCCACTGGATCCTGCTTGCACTTGCTCATGGGTATCGGTTTCCACACAGTCGCCTCGACGAACTGCTTGATCTCCTTGAGGTCTGCCGCTTCGACCAGGTCAAAGTGTTCCGCCACGTCGTTAGGCTTCAGGATGAGCGAGTCCGAGGCCGATGCGAAACACTCGCCAGTGAGGATGTCGAGATAAAAGCAGTGATCTTCGAGGAAGGGTCCATCGAAGGATATGTGAGCCTGGCTGCGTGTCCAGCTGCTTGGTAGTTCGTCGTCATCAGTAAGATTGAAACCCTCGACGTCTGAGCAGAAATATTCAGCTATGAGTGCCTGCTGCTCCGTCATAGAGTTGTGATACTCGCCCCCGTAGTCCTTGAGCTCGGGAACTAAGTCGATGCGCTTGGTGAAGTACTGCTGGTGCTCAATCAACTCCTGCCAAGCTGAGCAGTAGAATACTTCCGACGATCCAGAGTACATGTCCTCAGACTTGATGCCATGGGCAGAACGAGACCTGTCCTCATGTTCAGGGTTGTAGTCGATGGTCTTGTCTTCGTCGTCGTCCTGAGGCTGCTGCTGAGGATACTCGATCGTCGCGTCCGGTGAGCTCTGCTGCAATGGAAGGTGAACCGATCTAGACCGTTCGTCGTCGTGCTGAGGATACTCCAGAGTCGGTTCTGCAGCTTCAGCTGCTTGATCAGGGTGAGATGGATACTCAATTGTAGGTTGATCAGCTGCATCCTGTGCTCGATTCGTGTCCGTGTCGAGCCTGCGAGACCTGCTCCGATCATGGTCGTCGACAGGATCGGTGCCTTCACCTTGAGTTGCTTCGGCGATAGGCAACACAGGACCCTGCTCGCCCGACGATGCTGCCGCCTGTGACCCGCTCGATGGTGCTGACGATGAGCTCATGCCTGAGTTGTCGAACTTGACACGCTGATCTCTTCGTTCACGCATGCCGCGTTTCAGGATGGATGTCTGTGTCCGAGATCTGTCATCGTCACGTTCACGAGCTTCTGCCTCTGAGGTCACAGGGTCTGATATAGATGCGTCCAAATCAACTGGTGAGCCAGGAAGTGCAACTTGTCGCCAGTCTGGTGATGCTGGAGTCTGAGGTGCTGGAAATATCGGTGTCGTCGGAATCTGCTGCGGTGGTGCAGCTGCCTTTGGTGAAGTCGAAGTTCGACTTGGTGCTGGTCGTCGCGGAACAAACTCTTCATCAGATATGTTGATGTCGTGATCTGCCACCACAGCTCGCTTTTGTCCACCGTCTGGCACAGGTCGACCTGGATGATCATCTGGAGGTCGAGGAGGCGCAGGTGGCGCCAAGATAGAGGTACCAGACCTTGACACTGTCTCAAGCGTGCTATCCATGTGCTGCGACTGGTCATTCGGTGAGAAAGCCGACCGTGGCAGCACTGGCTGTCGAGGTATCTGTGGTGGTCGTCCTGGAGGTTGAGGTGGTTGAGGAGGCTGTGGTGGTTCATCTACTTCCATGACCGTGTCGTCATAGCCTGGAGGCTTCCACCACTCCGTCGGAGTCGGTGATGGTAAAAACTGCGTGGGAGGTGTCCAGGGCGCATCGTCTACCTGCTCAATGCTCGAGATGTCCGAAAGATCTGGTACTGCGTCCTGAACAACCGTGTCCTCGTACTGCTCTGAGACATAGATGATGAACGAGTAATTGCTCGGCGTGTCTGGCAGGATGGTCGCCAGCCGCAGAGTATGCCTCAGGTCCACTTGTCGTACTTGGTAGCTAAGTCGATCTCGTCGAACCCATGCTAGGATAACTCCTCGATTGATGCCGTGATAGGTATTGATGTTGTGCAGTTGCGTGCCGAACCTGATGGCCCTTGGGGCCGCCAGCTGTAGCAGAGACTCGCCCACTTGAGCTGCCAGATGGAAGACCTCGGGAGTGTTAATCTCGAAGTCGTTCGGCACAACAATCTGCATGCCGTTGGCGTCGTGAACCATTCCAACCGTGATCGTGGTGCCTGGTGCCTGGCCATCAACAATGTCAAGCAATCCGTGCAATGTCGTGTACATATCGTCATGCATGTTGTCCTGCCATCTGCCTTCTCCGTCCATCAGCATGTGAGTCGGTGGGCATGCCACTGTGACTGCATACGATCGTGCCTGATGTGGTCGCACATGCCTGAGCGGAACGATGTATGGCATGGACTGGTGTTTGACGATCGCCACGTTCTCCTTCAAGTTGATGTCCAGTAGGTCGCACGGTCCTCTCCACCCGGGCGCGTCCTTGCGATCAGGAACTCGGTACATATCAACAAAGTCTTGCAAGGGTCGTAGCTTGGCCACGTCCGAAAGGATCTGCACCTTGGTGTTGTTGGCCTCTGCGATGCGCTGCTCGATAACTGCTTTCTGAACTGCCGCCTTGGCCATCATCCTGAGCCTGAGGTAGGACTCGAAGGTGTCTG